TCTGGAAACTTCTTGTAATGTGTGTACAGCTCATATTGAAACTCCTTAAAGGAAGTTGGCCATTGATTTCTCCATGAATTCTTTGAGAGTTGCATATTTATCATTTTATACATCAAAAATAGCCTATATATAGCAACATAACATCAGTAAAATACAATGAAGAGCAGAAAATTCACACAAATATATTGGAATATGAAGTTGCTACTCAAGCAACCAAAATCAAAATGCCAGCAATTCAAATCATTCAAGATATGCATACATGTCAATGACCATTTGCAAACATCCAATATTTTAAATTAAGATATTGACTTCTAATCGTTTAGAGAACCTTTCGTTTTGATACCTGGTATACTAATTTGTTATTAGCTTTGTTCCTTCAGCAATGACTGTTTAAAGAAAGAAAAAGATGTATAAAAGTTCTACTAGGACAAGAAGCAAAACAAGTTAAAACAACAGTGTTACCTCCACTTTGTCATAAACAGGGGATTTTTCAAATTGAGTCACATCTCTCCAAAAGATCTTTTGGAGAGGTACAAATATTCTCACACTAGATCTTGTTTCAGATACTAATCGACTAGCATTAGGACCAGTTGGTCGTCCATCGCTGTCTTCATACATGATTTCCAGCTTCCTATGAGTGACCTTGACTATCTGGGATGTGCCTAAGCCATGAGTACGACCACATCACTTACGCTCGATTGGGATGTTGCAAGTGTTAAAACAATATAGTTCAATAACAAAAAAAGTTGAAGTACGAATTAAATAACAACTATAGAACTGCATGTCTTTGTTGGCAAAGTGGCTGGTGCAGACTGGATGATAGGTGAAGGCTAGTGCTAGCTTGAGTGATCGCCTGTGTGATAGGGCCATTCAGAGGTCTTTGTAGTGGTGGCTTCCTCTTTGTTGGCGTTGGAATAACCTATGTTGTTGACGGTAAAGAAAAATTCAATACGCATAAAATTAGATTTGAGCACATTGTACCAATCATGCATTTGTGTCAAACAAATATATTGTTGCTGAAAAAATTACTATTCAGAAACTACTTGCCACTACATTTCTAGTCTGTAAAAGGTTGTGTCAAAATCAGCAACTACATTTCTAGTCTACAACATATGGTCGTTGTTCGGCTAGTCTTTTTTTTTTATTCTAGTACCGAGCCTGAGGCACAAAGAGCGAAAAAAGCTGAACCAAGGGAATGATGACAGCGTCATTCATAAGATGCATGTACTCAATTTTTGAATCATATGTTATTGGCAGTGTAACAGAGATTGCATAAGCCTCTAGAATATATTGTTTTAATATCATGTTACAAAAATTGACAATGGGAAGAATAATAAATAAAAAGATTTTCAGTAAATTTGGATAAAAAGATAAGAAGACATTGCGGTAAGTTTTTGAATAAGCCTTCATTATTTCTTAGATGAACATGGAAATTAATTGAAGGGTTATTATTTCTTATCAAATGTGATTCTTTTGTTTTTCTTATGCGATAGGGCTCAGAGATGAAAACATTTTATGTAAGTCTGGATGTGATTCTATTGTTTTTCAAAGAATCACCTATGTATTGGAGGAATGACCAAGTAAACAATAGCTTATATGCTTCTACAAAAAGTACTAGAATCCATTCTTACATCTAAAAAAAATCAAAATATAGTACAAAATTATTTCCATTCGTTACATGAAGCAGTAACAACAAGCCCACAATTAAGACATGTTTCCTATCCCACACCTAAATTAGTCTTCCTCCCTCCACTCCGATTAAAACCAGTGCATCTACAACAGATCCTCAATATAATGCAATTTGCAGTCTTGAAAATCATCCTAACCTTAAGTCACTAAAACATTACTTGTCACTCCCACTTGAAATGTTGACAAGTAGCTATTAACATATAAAAACCTATATGTAGGATTTTTTTTATTCATGGCTACAATGTGCTCAAATTGAGTTTGTGTCTCATGATTTTGGTAGAGCATCCACGATAAAGAAAAGCACAGAAAGGAATCTCAAAAAGGATTTTAAACCAATGATAAGCAGTGCCCATAGAGAACTCAAAAAGAAAAAGATAATACAAATTAACCAAACTGATAAAAAAGCCATACAAAGAAACTTACACCAAAATATTGATTTCTAAGATAAGAAGCACCAATACCACCTGAAGCAAAAATTAGCACAAATAAGTTTCATGAAATACAAAATGAATACGGAAAGTGAAAAATCAAAAATCTATACGGTGAGGGAAAAGTCGGGGATTAGGAGAAGGACGTTAAAATATATGCAGTAATAAAATTGAAATTTTTTTTTTTTTGAGAAAATTGAAAACCCTACAATATAAAAAAATAATAATAATAATAATAAATCAAACCTCTCCTTTTTCTACCAAGTAAACCAAACATATAACACAAAATTTCAAAAAATCCAGATGTGAGTGTAGGGTAAAGAAAATGAAAGCACAAAAAGAAGAAAATGGAAAAACTGAAAACTTACTTTAAGATTGAAAATGGAGAAAGAAGGACAGCATTTGGAAATGGAGAGAAAACGACAGGCTACACTTGAAAAAGGATAGAAATGCACCAGACAACTTCAAGGCACTGAGAGAAATGGAAAGGGCAGCTTAAAGAAATTGGAATGGAGAAGACAGGTTAATTTTTGACCTATATAGTTTGGGTAAATCCAATTAATTTTTAGCCCAATACAAGATATTTATCGATTACATTTATTTAGTCAATAAATATTGTGGTGCCATGACTCGCTAAAAAGTAAATGTTATTTTGGCTGACTATTTTTAATTTTAGTCGGCAAGTATGTATTATTTTCGCCTACCAGTACCTATTTTGGTAAGTAAATACTATTTTACCGACTAATTATACGTTAGTGGGAAAAAATTTGGTCAGCAAAAGACTATTATTATTTACTAATTTTATTGGGTTTTGCCAACCAAGTATTTCTATTGGTCGTTATAAGAGAGTTTTCACCGACTAGAATTTGGTTGGTCGGGAAAGCTATATTTTCTTGTATACATCATAATGATCCTCCTATTTGACTATTTCGGCCATTTTTGAGCACCTTATTGTATTTTTGAGTCTTACGAAATTCTATTATATCCCCATAATTTTAATTCACCATGGGTAGAGGCACTATTGCTAAAATAATAGCCTCTATACGAATAGATAGAAGAAAGCTCGATATCTCGCTATTACAGAAGGTAGGTCAAATCTATGTAAATAGAGAATTAGTATCTGAACAATATTTTATTATTTCAAAACCCCATTAAATATACACACATAAACGCAGCACATTGACATAGTTATAGGGGATAGTATGAGAAACCGAAAATCGCTGCAAATGCAAAAGCTCTGAGTTAGTTTACCTTCAAGAATCCAATGAATTCAAACTTTAATTTTAATAATATTTTAAGTAAGGGAGGGTTGTGTTATTCGATAATCTAATAAACTTTATAGGGGTAGGTACGTGTTAATCAAGCTCAAATTATGGGAGGTTTGTTTATTTAGCCTCCGTTTGAGCCCCATTAATTTTCATTACATTTCATTTCATTTTTCTCTCTCCTATTTTCAACCACACAATCTTCCATAAAATAATATTACACGTAAATCAAAAAAATTTCCTTCTTTTTCAACCACTCATTTTTCAAAAAAATAATACTATTCCACCCATTAATATTTCTACGTAATGGGTGCCAAACTGGAGCTTATTGAAAACAATGGGATTTCATGTGAGATATCAATTATTCAAACTTGAAATAAGAAAGGTTTTTGTAATTTTTGAACACAGATGATGTCTCTAAACTTGTCGAAAACCTAATTTATGGCACTTGTTCTTGTCATGCAGCTTGCTCTAAGAGTGCATTGTTAGGAATGGCTCAGTGTTGGGTGGCATGTTTCACTAGGGACTTTCGAAAGATGCAATATGGATTAAAATATCTTCATTTTCCGTTCCAATGTTCTCATTTCACTAATTTATTATTTTCTACCTATTTTATTTATTTTACTATGATGTAACTTAAAAACAGAAGGAAATTAAAAATATGAGTTGACACAGGGATGTGTTTTCAAATATAAATTAAATTTAGAAACTGAAAAATGAAAAAACAAGAATCTAGGCAGGGTACGGATTTTTAATTACAATATAAGTTTAAGGACATAAAAAAAAGAAAAAAAAGATAAGCGACGGGTCCTAGCCTCAATTTTCCCCTATGTCAACGCCACCCACTATTAGGATATTCGTGTTAAAACAAAAGTTTTGAGAAAGCTTTATAAATTCAATATATTTATTTAGTTACTATTTTAATTTAATTTGTGTTAGTTATAATATAAAGAAAATATTAGTATAAACTATCGTATTTTTCCTACTCTTCTAAGTTGTCACGTTATTATCGGATTTTATCAGAAGCTACAATGTCAAATTACAAAGAGTAGTAGATATACTTGAGTTAAAAGAATAAATTTAACAATTTCATATGAACTTGCAAGCCAATCTTGCAAAACAACAATGCATAGCAAACCTAAGTTAAAACAAGAAGAAAACTTCTTTGTCTAGAAAAATCAAACTAGCAGTAATGCATGAAATGTACAAAATACATAAAAACAATTCATTTCTTTACTTACCCAGACATCACTCATGAGAAGGTGGTCGGTGCACTAGCAGATAAGAAACAATGTGCATAGTTGGCTGATGTTGTGGATTGGAGTGCAGGCATTCAATTGCAAGTTTAACAATGGACATCAAAATCACCCCTTCTTCTTGAGTGGGATAAAGAATGAGTGGATCCAACAAATCTTCCATCTGTAAATCTCTGTTCGATGGAGTTGTTACGTATTGAATGTATTCGCCAAGTTGCTTTCCTTTGATCACTTCCAATGCTAACACTCCTAAGCTATACACATCACACTTTTCGGTCACCTTTGTTGTGTACACAAGCTCTGCCCAAAAAATAGGGAATGCATACAATCATAATCATGTATCTATATTCCTCGGATGAAATTTAAATAAAAGAAATATTACCTGGAGCAATATAACCATATGTGCCAGTAAGAGAGCTGAAATTCGATGAATAGCATTTCAGAAACTTAGCAGTGCCAAAATTTGAAACATGAGCCTCACATTTTGAATCAAGCAAAATGTTTTTGCTGGATATATCTCGATGAACAATTGGAGGTGAACAATTAGGATGCATGTAAGACAAAGCATGAGACATGCCATTCACGATATTAATCCTTTTAGGCCAATCCAATTTCTTAGTTTCTTCATTTGTGCTTAAAGTTTTGGCCAAACTACCTTTGTCAAGGTATTCATAAACCAAAAGTGAGTTTTGACCATTGGAGCAAAAATCGTAAAGTTTCACAATGTCCCAGTGCCTAATTTCCGTCAATGCTTTTATTTCATTTAGGAAAGCTTCAAAATTCGCCATTTTAGATGATGAAACTGCTATTGTAACCATTTCAGATGAGGAATGAAGTCTTTTCCCTTATATTGTCTTTCTGATGAAAGTTGTGCTTTGCAAACCACTCAGCATCCTCCTTCTCGAATACAGAAAGCTGGATCCAATTCATTTGTGGCTTCTAAGATGTCTTTATACGTGAGTTTTTCATTGAATATGGTGAGCAAATCATCATCTACTTTCTTTAGATTCATCTTTCTGCGTTTATACAGGATGAAGATCCCAATGAGTGCGAATAGAAGAAAAGAAGCACAAAGAAGAGGAGTTGCGATTATCAAAATGAGCTTGTGGTCATTCGATATCTTCTTGTTTTTAACTCTAGAAAGGGCTTTTACATGGTTTTAATCTTGCAATATTGCGACACAATCCTTTGTTCCCTTGTAATTGCTCTATAGAGACATCATGAAAGCTTTGCCACAAAGAACTGGACCCTCCAACTCATTGTATGATATATCAATGTCCTTCGAGCCAGGTATTTCTTCAAAACTCTTAGGAATGATTCCAAAAGAGTGATTGTGGGAGAGGTTTAACATTTCCAAGCTTGCCAAAAATCTTAATTCGGATGATATTTCTCTAGTGAGTAAATTATTACTCATATCCAACTCAGAAAGATGGATTAACTTACCAAGCTAATGACAGATTCTCTAGCTTAAATTGTTGAAGCTCAAATTCAAGTAATACAACTGCTCAAAGTTCGCTAAATTTCCAGGTATCTGACATTTCAGTCCATTTCTAGAAAGGTCAAGGATTTCTAGATATGAAAGCAATCCCCATTCTTCAGGTATACATCCAGAATGTTTGTTATCCTCTAAATATAGATTTAGAAGGAAAGTTAACTTTCCAATTTCCTTCAAGATTTCCCTACGCAATTGGTTTTAAGAAAGATCGAGTACTTGCAGTTGACTTATACTTCCAAATTCTGGAGGAATGTTCCCTGTAAGGTTGTTCTTTTCAATTTTCAGAGCTTGTAGTTGTTTGTTACCACCCCAGATGTTCGATAGTTCACCATAGAAATTATTGTTACTTAGGTCCATGAACGTCAAATTTGGGTACACATCAAATTAATTAGAAATATCTCCAGAAAAAGTTGGTTGTGATCAAATCGGAGTGTAACTAAACTGAAGCATTTTCTCAAGCTTCGGGGGATTGAACCTGAAAGTCAATTGAAGCTCACAATAAATCTTTTTAGCACTCTTCCACCGCATCACCCTGGAAAATCACCCAAAAAAATGATTAGAAAACATTTCCACATTGACAGGTTCTTCAATTTCCCTAGTTCAGCTAGAATGGGATCGGAAAGTTGATTTGTCCATGTAGAGTTCTTAAACTAGTTAATCCACTTAACGAAGCTGGAATTTCACTTGTGAGATTATTTGTGCCCAATTCTAGATCCTCGAGTGACGTTAACTTTCCAAACTTGGGAGGAATGGGACCAGAAAGTTTATTAGCATGGAGATGCATAATACTTAAACTAGTTAATCCACGCAATGAAGTTGGAATTTGACCCGAGAAATGATTCACGCTCAATGATAGGTCCTGGAGTGAAGTCAGCTTCCCCAACTCAGGAGATATGGGAACAAAAAGTTGATTAGTATGGAGATACGTAGTTCTTAAACTAGTCAATCCACTCAATCAAGCTGGAATTTCACTTGTGAGATTATTTGTGCCCAATTCTAGGTCCTGGAGTGATATCGGCATTCCTAACTCAGGAGTAATGGGACCAGAAATTTAATTAATATAAAGACACAAAGTTCTTAAACTAGTTAATCCACTAAACGAAGCTGGACTATTACCAGTGAGATGATTCGTGTTCAATTCTAGGTCTTGGAGTAATGTCAACTTCCCTAACTCGAAGGAATGGGACCATAAAGTTGATTAGTATGGAGATACAAAGTTCTTAAACTAGTTAATCCACTCAAAGAAACTTGAATTTGACCCGTGAGATTATTTGTGCTCAATTAGGTCCTGGAGTGACGTCTAATTTCCCAACTCAGAAGGAATGAGACCAAAAAGTTGATTCGTATGGATACAAGGTTCTTAAACTAGTTAATCCACTCAACGAAGATAGAATTTGATCGGTGAGATTGTTTGTGGCAAGTCCTAGGTCCTAGAGTGATGTCAACTTCCCAACTCAGGAGGAATGGGACCAGAGAGTTGATTGATGTGGACATTCAAAGTTCTTAAACTAGTAAACCCACTCAAAGAAGTGGGAATTTGACCCGTGAGATGGTTTCCGCTCAATGATAGGTCCAGGAGTGAAATTAACTTTCCCAACTCAGGAGGTATTGGACCAAAAAATTGATTAGAATGGAGATATAAAGGACTTTAACTTTTCAATCCACTCAACGAAGCTTGAATTTCACCTTTGAGATTATTTGTGTCTACTTCTAGGTCCTCGAGTGATGTCAAATTTCCTGACTTGGGAAGAATGGGACCAAAAAGTTTATTAGGATGTAGATATAGAGTTCTTAAACTAGTTAATCCACTCAAGGGGGCTGGAATTTGACTAGTGACGTGATTCGTGCTCAATGATAGGTATTTGAGTGATGTCAACAATCCCAACTTAGGAGGAATAGGACCAGAAAGTTGATTAGTATGGAGATACGGAGTTCTTAAACTAGCTAATCCACTCAACGAAGTTGGAATTTGATCCTTGAGATGATTCACACACAATGATAGGGGCTGGAGTGATGTCAACTTTCCCAACTCAGGAGGAATGGGCCAAAAAGTTGAATAGTATGGAGATACATAGTTCTTAAACAAGTTAATCCACTCAAGAAAGCTGGAATTTTTCCCATGACAAGATTCGTCCTCAATGATAGGTACTAGAGTGATGTCAAATTCCTCAACTCTAGAGAAATAGACCAGAAAGTTGATTAGTATGGAGATACAAAGTTCTTAAATTGGTTAATCCACTCGATGAGGCTGGAATTTGACCTATAAAGTGATTGGTTGGTAAATTAAGATATTTGAGTTTGGACGGTTCCTGTGAACTTATTGGTTGATAAATCAGGATAGACAAGTTTGGAGACTTTACCAATTTGAGATGGAATGATGCCAAAGAGATGGTTGACAGAGAGATCTACGTAAGCAAGATTTGGGAAAGATAAGAAATGAGAAATTGTAGAAGAAGGCATGAATGCTTGCATTTTTTAGGTTCAGCCTATTAACACTTCCATCAATGCAAGAAACTCCAAACTAATTGCATAGATTGGAACTTTCTTTTGGATGGTTGAAAAATTTGTGGAATTCTTGATTTCAAGATTCCGTGATTTCAGTATCGAGTTGTTGTGATTTATAAATCTGGCTTTCAATTTTAGTAGAGCATTAGCTTCAGCAAAAGAAGCAGAAACAGGGGGTTCAAGCAAATTTTTTTAGAAAAATGCAAAATTGGAGTATTTTAGCATGGTTTAACTAGAATTTCTAGACTAATTATCATGCTACGAAAGTTCAATTTATAGATTCATAATTTGAAATGAGAGGGGCCCGGGAGGGGTGATCTTAAGAATTTTTTGTGCTAAAGACTTTGTAAGTCAAGATTTGTCTTTTAAAGTAAGCATCATTCTTCATTATCAATCATTATCTATAATTGACTCAGATTGCAGTATCCAGTTAAGATGACCTCTACCAAGTATTACTTAAATCGCATTGTACTATTAAAGAGAAACCAGTGGTTAGAACTTGTTGAAAATATTTATATGAATCTTGTACAAAATATATATGGGTTTTAATTTATACATTGTTACATAAAGAACATATATATTGAAATTTTAGTCTCATGGATACAAATTATGACAGACAAAGTTGAGAAAAGAAAAGAGAAAAATAAACTTTTATTGACAATTATCTATACAAATAACAAATTACACAAAAAGAAAGTAGATTTAGTAACATAGATGTAAAACTGATCACTTAGTTTTAGAATTACAAATTCAATAATATATAAATATTGCTACACGAAAATAAAGGTAGGAAAAAAAAAAGCCTACACCAAAAATAAGTTATTTATTCCATGATTTTGATTGTTTTTCTCACTCTAACTTTTTTCGTTTAATTTAATTTTAATACATATTAAAATGTTGTGTAAATATTTAACAAGGTTCACCATCTATTAATGTTTTTGTCTATATACGTGATCTCACTTTTTTTTTTTTTTTTGATAAATCAAGTGTCCAAGTTTCGTCCCACTAATTCTCAAGAGTGGTGGTCTTATCCCTTGGTTCGCCAGCTAGGTAAATCGGATGGAGTCACAATTTATAAGGACTTGGGCTAGACATTCAGAATGCAGTTCTACTCCTTGTGATCCTTTTACAACGGGCCCTCCAAAGTGGTGCAGAGCACATCATAACTCTGCCTCCACACAACATCTACGTGATTTCAGTTTTTATTGGTATTAGAGATGGACTAAGTATAACTTAGGAAAATTTATAGTAGAGGTATCAAACCTTTAAAAAATGTGTAGTTAGATCCCAAAACTTTTAGTCTTAGCACCTACATCCTAAACTTTTTAATATATGTGCACAATAAGAATCATTAACGGTTTAAATCCAAAAACCTGTTAGTTAATCAAAAGTCAAACGTGTTACTTTAATTTTACCAATTTAATGCAAGGTAAATTGGTCTTTTACATTTAATTAACTAATAAAAATTTAATAATTCTAACAAAAAATAAGCCCCTGTTTGAGCCCCATTACATTAAATTTTAATATATTTTATTTTTCTCTCCTATTTTCAACCACGAATCTTCCATAAAATAATATTACACGTAAATCAAAAACTTTTCATTCTTTTTCAACTACTCATTTTTCAAAAAAATACTATTCCTCCCATTAATTTTTCTACGTAATGGGAATCAAATAGGGGCTAAATAATAAGAGAAATAAAATATTTATCTTCACCATACCACCCAGCCATAAGCCATTTAATAATATTATTTAGCACTACTAATGTTATAACATCAATCTAGATGA